ACCTTTCAGTGTCCACTGGGGGGCAATCCCTACCTCAATGCCAAATGCCTCAGTGTCCACTGGGGGCAAACTTTACCTCAATGCCACATGCATTAGTGCCTGCTTGGGGCAAACTCTACTTCACTGCCAAATGTGAAGCTGCTGAAGATAAACTACCTCAATGCCACATGCCTTACTGCCTGCTGGGGTAGACTCTAGTTCAGTGCTACATGCCTCAGTGACTGCTGTGGGCAATCTCTACCTCAATGCCAAATACCTCATTGCCTGATGGGGGCAAACTCTACTTTACTGTCAAATGTGATGCTGCTGCAGAAAAACTCTATCTTACTGCCACATGCTTTTGTGTGCCTGTCGGAAGCAAGCCAAATGACCTCTGTGCCAAAGATCTCTTATTCTGATGGGGCCAAATCAAACTCCCTAAATGCCATCCACTTCTGGGCCATGTGATAAACTTTGCCAGCTGCCTCTGTCACTTTCGGGGGGGGCAATTTGTGGGTGAATAACTCAGATATCTGATATCCAATCTTCCCCAAACATGACAGGATTTTTGGAGAAAGACATAGGAAGCTTCTTTGTGATTTAGGATTCTCTCAGTACCTGGGTGGAACTTTCCTGGATTTGTCCTCCTTGTGACTATGTAACTAAGGGTTCCAGAATCCAATGTTCACCAAATCTGCTGGGCTTGTAGAATCCTGTCTCATATAGATGGAGGAAGAAGATTATTGCAAGAGGTCCCGCCTACGGTGGTGAGGAACACAGTTAAATTGTATTTTGATTTGTGTATTTTATGTTTATGTTTTAGTTAATAAAAAAAATTTAAAAAGAGAATCCTTTCTGAGGAAGCTTCTCTGTAAATTTAGTGTCTCTAGGTGCTTGGGGGCCATATTTATAGCATTTTAAAGTGAAAATGAATTAACAAATTGATTCATCAGAGAATATTCGTAGACTTGTATTTTTTGATTTGTTAACCTTGACAAATTATAAATCACAATGGATTTCCATTTTTTAAATTCCTTCCCATCTCTAATTCAGACTCATGAATTCTAAAGTGCCCTAGCTACAAGAACAGATTGGGTTATATTATGGTGTTCTACATAAATAATTTAAGATATGCAGTTTGCACCATGTTACTGTCAGAAAGCAGCAATGATTTGAAATGACTTTTATTGAAAGTGAAAGGAGTGAGTGCCAAAGGAGGACTTCCACTGAACATAAAAAAGACAAAAATCATGAGTATAGGTGTAATTGTGTGTCACCCAGGCCAAGATCATCCACACTCTTGTATTCCTGATCATTGTGTGTGTGTGTGTGTGTGTGTGTGTGTGTGTGTGTATGATCACTATGTATGTGTGTGTATCTATCCATCTGTCCATCCATCCGTCCGTCCGTCTATCTGTCTATCTATCTATCTGATAATATAACAATACAAATAAACAATGTATTCCTGATCACTATGTGTGTGTGTATAACAATACAAATAAACAATGTATAAAAGGGAACAAAATATTAAACACTAATTTTCCCCCCACACTCAATACACTTAAAGCAAATAAATGAAAATTAAACCCAAAATTTCCTCCCCCCGCTCACAGTCCTGTTACATCGTTTTCTGCCTGTAGATCTTATAGTTCCAGGAATTATTAGAACACTTGAGAGGCAGTTTTTCAAGTTTTTCAAGTTGAGGTTAGGGTTTGTGTCAGTGCTGAGCACGGAGATACAACAGTAGCAAAGAGCTGGTAAATAAAATGGCGCTACTGTTGTTGTTTTCTGAACCAAGAGGGCAGCCGACATGTTCACACTGCTTCTGGTCTTGTCAAGAGAAAGGGCAGAGGGGGTAGTTCCTGAAGGAATTGGTTGCATGGCAGCAAGCAAGGGGGTAGCTAGCTGGATCCCACAAACGATGGGAACCCGGTGCCAGCTCCCCCACTCCAAATTCCCCAACAAAGCCTCCAGCTCTCCACTAAGTTGGGAAACTCCTCTGACCCAACAAGACTCCCGGCGTCTTCCCTGACTCTCCACGCTGGACCCTGCAGGCTTCCCCATCGAGTCCCTGGTTCACCTCTAGGCAGGACCCGCTGAGGACTTACAGAAACTCCCAGCAGAGGCTCCCAGCCTTCGGTCCCCAGCACACTGTTCTTTCAAGCTCCGCAGACAGCCTCAAATGAGCTCTGGCTCCAATCCACCACCTTGTCCTGCAAGTCTGACCCAGCTCCAGCCACAAAACACCCTTTCTCTTGACCTCCTCAGCCACAGACAGCAGCGACACGAAAAGAATGAGTCAGGGCAGGAATCAACAAAATAAACAAACAAAATAAACGAAGAACAAAGGAAAGAGAAGAAAAGAGAAAAGGAAAAACAGATTGGTACGGCAGAGCTAAACACGACCAACCCATCACTGGTCTGCCATCCTTATAATGGAGTGGCTGTATCATAGTCTGTATTGTTTAGAGATTTATTTCTCCAGTGACCTCACGTTCTGCATCCTAGTAGTTAGTAACAGAGGTGCAGCAGGAGGCAGCTCTAGAAGCACTAGTTTCAAATTCAGACCGGAGGAAGAAGGAGAGAGAGAGAGAGGACTCACATTTCCATTTGTGGCAAGGTGAAACTAAGATTTTCTCTTTAGATCAAGGGATGCTCTCTATATTAATGTTAATTATTGTCATTTGTGATCTTAAAAAGGATCATTGGATCATTTTGCTTAAAAACAAGTTTACAGTGCAATGCTTCTGGAAGTGAAGATTTGGCTAGCTGCATGCCATTGCACAGGGGACACCAGAGCGTAGTCAAAATGTTTTTCCATTCTTCAGGAAGGTGCCTTCTATGTCTGTTATTTGACTGACATTGCCCTTCCAGAAGTGTGTCGAGAGGTACTAGCAAAGATAAACAAAATAAGGTAATACAATACCAAACCTATCCACTGCATGGACACCAACACACCTAGCTAATGGCTAAAACTGAGGAAACGTTTTCTGCGCACACCTCAAGCTTTAAATATTAAACCAGAAGAGGCTAGGCTAAAGCTATGGAGAACAAAAACAACACATTTTGCTGAATGGATGAATGTCGA